TTGCCAAGGTAACTGCCCCATCCCACAATGCACAGGACCTTGGACAGGCATTGGTGGTATAGTGGTTAGCATAGCTGCCTTCCACAATGCACAGGACCACCTCCAGGAGAAAGTATTCACAGAGCCAGCTAGGAGGAAGAAGAGAAGGTGGAAAGTGGGGAGTGAGGTCCCTTTCTAGGCATTCCTTCAGCCAGAATGTAGTCTTCCTCTCACTTTAGCAAGTTGAGTCCTGCACGCATGCTTCTCCTGCTCCAAAGATCAAAAAAACCAATTGTAGCATGCTGTGCTGGACGCTGATCTCTGTGTTCTAATAGTCAACGTGGGACAGAGCAAAGGAGGCGAGGATGACGCAGGGTAAACTGAGGTACACCTCCCCAAGCCTCTGTCTTGGCCGCATGGAATTCTGTGTCCACGCCACATTTGCAACTATAGCAGCGTGGTTTCGTTGTTTCTGTCTTTAATTTAGACAAGGTTTGGCAACATTTTTTTTTTGGTAAAGGAACCAGATCATAAATATTTCCTGCTTTGTGGACCCCATTGTCCATGCGGAGCTGGTCAGCCCCGCTGGTGTCGTCCAAAGTAGCCAGAGATAATATACAAACAGATGATCGCCAGTCCATGTGCCAGTTAAGTCCGTTTTTACAGACACAGGTGGCAGACCAGCCAGCTTCGGCCTGAATGATGTGGTTTGTGGACACCTGGCTTAGCCCCAAAGCAGGAACCTTGTCTGTTTCCCCTTCACACCCGCTGCGCCTAATACCAGGTTGCACAGGGTTGAGACCCCGGAACACTTACTGAACAACACCAAGGGGTCACTTGTGCAAGCTCAGGTGTTAGACTTCAACGCAACCACCACTGGAGGGAAAGATCCATCCAGCATTTCCCAGATAACTGCTGTGTATTATTTAACCATCTCCTTGTGTTGAAGGTTTAGGCTGATCCCTATTTATTTATTTATTTATGGCCAGTCCTGAAGCTTGAACTCTGGGTCTGTGGGCACTGTCCCTTAGCTCCTTTTGCTACAGAGACAGGTGGTAGTATTCTACCACCTTGAACCACAGCTCCACTGTGTGTGTGTGTGTGTGTGTGTGTGCACGTGTGTGTGCACGTGTGTGCGTGCGTGCGCATGTGCCTAGTTAGAGATAAGCATCTCACAGACTTTCCTGCCCAGGCTGACTTCAAACCGTGATCCTCAGATCTCAGCCTCCTGAGTAGCTAGGATGCTAGGTGTGAGCCACCAGAGCCTGGCTTCCAAAGTTTCATTAGCAATTAGGGTCTTGAGAACAAGCTCCCTCCTAGCACACGGTGGGCCTGTGTTCTTATCTTTTCCTTCATGTGAATTCCTAGAAGAATCTGGTCCTCCAAGCAGCATGTATTTGCTAAATGGCTTTCCAAGAAGGATGGTTTTGATCTAGAAGGATGGTTTTGATCTATATTCCTAACTGTAACACGACAAGGAGATCTATCATGGGCAAGGAGTGCTTTCAACAAAACTGCCATCAGGGAAAGTTTGGGCCTCCACGTGAGATTGCTCAGCATGAGTAGAAGTAAATTGGCTGCTGTAACAGTATGATCATTATACCTGCTGGGGCCGTCCAGCCCAGGACAAAACATCTGCTTCCCATTAGGCCTTGTACCCACCACCATCCGAACTCCTGGCACCAGCCAGCCTCCCCTGCCTTGACGGACAGAGGCCTCCTCCCCGTGAACTTCACCACCAGATATGCCATCCAGTTGCTCATTTCCCTCAGGACATTTCACGTGGGTTCATTTTGGCACACAAGTGGAGGTAATTCAGGAACGATTGCTCCTGTGATGGCTGGTAACATGTAAAATGTTCTAAGACAGATTAAGGAAGAAAGAAAAAGAAAGATAGGAAGGGAGGGAGGGAAGGAAGGAGGGAGGGAAGAAAAGAGAGAGGGAGGGTAGGGAAGAGAAATGAAAGAAAGAGGGAGAGAGGAAGGAAAAAAGAAAGGAAGGAGAGAGGAAAGAAGGAAGAAAGTCACTGGGAAACTACTAAGGATCTCTGATTATTATCCAAGCACAGCAAGAAGTAGGTCTTGTGAACTGCACGGTCTGGGCACTGTAAGAACAGAGAAGCCACATGAGCAGACACTTTCATAGGCCTTTGGCTCTCTCCAAACTTCTCTGAGTTTGTCCAGGAGAAGAGGATGTTTCTGATTGAGAAAGAGTAGAAAACATCATAGAAATCAGGGTGGCCTGTGTAGTTACATGTTGGTACAGTTACATGTCAGTGCCGGTGGCTCACACCTGTCCTCCTAGCTATTCAAGGAGGCTGAGGATCGTGGTTCAAAGCCAGCCCAGGCAGAAAAAGTCCTATGAGATACTGATCTCCAGTTAACCACAAACAAGTACAAGTGGAGGTATGTCTTAAGTGGTAGAGCACCAGCCTTGAGAGAAAAAGCTAGAGGACAGTGCCCAGGCTCTGAGTTCAAGCCCCTGTACCTGGCACACACACATTCCCAAAAACATGTGCCAGACAGAATCAGATCTATGAAGACCAGCCGCTAAGAGCCAGCATTTTCCAGAGAAGTCACCCTGTGGCAGCCAGCCACTAAGCTGCTCCCAAGTTCACTTACTTGATTCTCCCACGATCAGAAGAGGTGGACATGCACCACTCAGCCACAGAGGACCTCAAGGTTAAAGTGTAAGATGAAGTCAAAAATAAAGGGAGGCTTAGTACGGTGTATTGATATGCCTAAATTCCAGAACTTACAAGAACTCAAGTATTGGGGGAGGGGGTGCCAGTGCCCCGTCTGTGCCCACAGATGGCATCTGGAAACAGGACACCACTGTGAAGTCGCCCCTCGGGTCCCATTTGCTGAGAATTGAGAACACTGCGTGCTGGAGGGTCATGAACTATTTTCAGGGAGCCGTCCAGCCGTGCACAGTAAGCCAGAAACTGAGCCAGAACTGCAGCCATGCTGCCTGGCTCCCCACTCTCTCTGTCATCCCAAATGGTTCCCACAAAGTTCCATGGGCGGTGCTTGTCCAAAGGCAGGGTGTTTGCAGAGAGACCGCAACTGCTTTAAAGAGAGTAACACGGAAGCCAGGCATGGGTGGCTCACGGCTCACTGTGGTCATCCTCACTGCTCAGGAGGCTGAGGTCAAAGGCTCGAGATTCAAAACCCAGGCAGAAAAGTTAAGGAGATCCATCTTCATTAACTAGCAAAAAGCTGGGCTGGAGGCATGACCCAAGTGGTGGAGGGTTAGCTCTGCACAAGCAAGCTGAACAATTGTGAGGCCTTGAGTTTAGGCTATGGTAGTAGCGGAAGGAAGGGAAAGAGGGAAGAACTAGGAACATGGCTGAAGTGGTAGAGTACCTGCTTAGCAAGTGCAAGGCCACAAGTTCAAACCCCAGCACTGCTTCCCTTCAAGAAAAAAATAATTAAATGAGCCAAGCGTGGTATTGCATACTGTAATCTCATCTACACAGGAGACAGAGGAGGAGGATGAGAGGTTGAGGCCCGCCTGGGCAAGGTTATTGAGACACCCTAATCTCACAATGAAATCCAACACAAGGGCTAGGGCAGAGCTCAAGTCGCAGATCGCTGGTCTAGCATGTGTGAGGCCCAGCGTTTCAGCCCCAGAATGAAAAACCACGTGGCTCGGTGCATGTCTTCTTTTATTTTTTTCCTCTTAAACAGAATGAGTTCAGTGTGGGACCAGTTGTACATGGTTAACAGGATTAGACTAGAGGTTGGACAGAAGGTGGGGATAGAGCATCTTAACAGGAGGGGGGTGGGGAGGAGGAAGATGGACAATAAGGCTGGCTTTTCTGTCCATCTTCCTCATCAGAGACACCCACATCCACAGGCATCTTCTGAAATCAGTTAGAACCTGGCTGTGGGGGCTTAGGCTTGCAGATGCCCTGCTTGGTTCAAAGCCATGGAGAACTCAGGGCAGAGGCATGTGGAACTCGTGCCTAGAAGACATTTGCCTTTCTTTCCTGCTTTAAAAAGAAAATGTGCCTGGAATGGAGGGGCAGAGGCTAGACATACATGTGGGAGGAGCAATACGTAGCCAGCAAGGCATGTGGAAAGGCTGACTGGATGGAGATGGACGCATTGAGATGCTGTTCTCTGACAGCCAGAGGCCATTTGTGCCTGGCGGGCTTGGGTTGCAAATATGGAAGCAATATCGCAGAAGTGCCGTGGCTGCAGAGAGATGCCAATCAAACACGAGTCCCGCCTACAGGTTTGACCAAAGGCCCCATATGGACAGATCCATGGTGGCCTGGGTCTGGGATCTGCTTGCCACGTGGCCCAAGATGTGGTCTGAAATTCCAGACCAGTCTGTGAATCTGTGAGTGCACGTCTCAACTTGTAGAATATCATCTGAGTTCACGCATCTTTCCTTATTGCCACCACCCAGTGGAAAATCCTGTAATCCTGGTATTTCCTCATCCAGACAACACTGTAGGCCCCTCAAATGAGCCTGACCCACCAGGCCCCCTTCCATTGTTTAGACGCTTACCATCCTGTTGTGGGCCTTTTGCTTCCACTGGGTGCTTGGTGGCAACTAGGCAAAAGCCTTAGTGCCAGGACAGATCCAAATCTCAGCCCACTGGATTTGATTTTCTAAGACACGGGCTCCGGCTCTGAGGGCCGCTTCACTGTGCACTATGTGTTGTGTGTGGTTTCGGAACAGAACATGGTAATGGGGCTGTTGGGGGGGGCGGGGGGCGGCAATCTCAAATGAAGGCCTGCTGCTTTTCATGGTGCCAAAGAGATTCTTCATGAGAAATTTCCCAGCCAGCACGGGAGCATCCCCTCCCTCCTTCCCAGCATCCAATGGACTTCCCAGAATCCAATGGGCATTTGCAAAACTCCCCTTCCCCACCTTTGCAAACCAGATATGTCGCCAGAGATCTGCAATCATCCCTACTCACTCCTCTCCCAGTGCTCCCAATCTGTGTGCCACAAATGCCCTTTCGGTCCCCGATCTGTGCCACAAGCGCCTTTTCTGTCCCTCTACAGAGCGTCGGCTGTGATGACTACCTGGGCTCTCACAAAGTCATGGACAAGTGCGGTGTCTGCGGGGGTGACAATACAGGCTGCCAGGTGGTCTCCGGTGTATTTAACCACGCCCTCACCAGCCTGGGCTACCACCGCGTGGTCGAGATTCCCCAGGGAGCCACAAAAATCAATGTCACGGAGATGCACAAGAGTAACAACTACCTGGGTAAGTGAGGCCATCTTCCTGGGGAAAGTGTCCGTCACTGCCAGTGATGGAATCTTCCAGGGTTGTGCAGAGGGACTAAGATATGTATGTCACCGGGGTACCTTCATACTTCCTGGCCTGCCTGACCTTTGATTTAAACTTGAAGCAAGTTAAAAATAATAATAATAATTAGCCAGCGTCAGTGGCTCACACCTGTAATCCTAGCTACTCAGGAGGTTCAGATCTGAGGATTGCAATTCAAAGCCAGCCCAGGCAGGAAAGTCTCTGAGACTGTTATCTCCAATAAACCACTCAGAAAACTGGAAGTGACGCTGTGGCTCAAGTGGTAGTGCACTCGCCTTGAGCTGAAGAGCTGAAGGATAGTGCCCAGGCCCAGAGTTCAAGCTCCACAACCAACCAAATAATAATAATAATTTCCAGGCGCCAGTAGCTCATACCTGACATCCTAGCTACTCAGGAGGCTGAGATCTGAGGATTGTGGCTCAAAGCCAACCTGGGCGAGAAAAGCTATGAAGACTCTTTATCGCCAATGAACCACCAGAAAATGAGAAGGGGCACTGTGGCTCAAAATGGTAGAGTGCTAGCCTTGAGCAAAAAGAGCTTAGAGACAGTGCCCAGCCTGAGTTCAAGCTCTACGACAGACCAAAACAAAAATCCTTCTTACAGCTAAATGCTTAAGAGCTGTACATGTAAACCAGCCACTGCTGTTCCTAACAATAACTTGGTTATGAAATCCGAGCATGACAGCCCAGGTGTGGCTCAGCAGAGAGGGGCTCTGCGGAGAGCCAGGAGGTCAGCAAGTCTTGGTTCTATTGGAGTGGGGGGGAGCAAGGCATTGGTGACATGCGTAGTCCCCTCGCATCGTCCCTGGAAGTCTAGAGCAGAAGCCATTCTTCCCCCTGTCCATTTCATCTGCCTGGTATTATAGCCTTTGCATTTATGGTAGCCACATGCTCTAGAACCTCCACATTAGTGGCATAGAACACTCCCATGCATCGCATTCAAACACTCTAGAACCTTCACCTAAACAGCAATGAAGCGCTCTAGAATTTTCACGTTAATGGCAAGCACTCTAGAACCTTCTAGAACCTTCCACAGTTACTTCAAGCACATATTCATCAATATTGGATGTCCTTTCCCTTTCATCTTTAACTAGTTGTCCAAAAGAGTTGCCCTTTCACTAAGCAGTTTATGAATACCATATACAATCTAGCTTGATCGCCACCCCTTTCAACATGCCCACCCATCCCTCCCCAACCTGCCTCTTCCCTCACTCTTCTTAATTTTGTACAGTATACATTGGATTCTTGACCGCACTCTTCCCCTCTTCTCTTCCTGGAAGGCTGCCTTTAACTCATCTTCCTGCAAAGGGAGATCTTTGTTGATCTTTCTTCTTCTGGATTTTCAGGCTCTTTGCATTCCATTCATGAAAAGCAGTCATTAAAAAATGAAATTTTGGCCAATGTTTGACTTACGTTTGTGTACAAATCAGTTAAAGAAATGACCCAGGGGAGCCATTTCTTAAAGCCTTTGAAGAACAATATCCACTTTTATTTGTTAGCACCCACTATATGCCAGGCAAAGTTTTGTCTCGGTGTGGGTGGGTGTGCACGTGTGCATGCATGTGTGTGTGATTCTGGGCTGGACCCTGAACTAAAGCCTCACACTCTGACTTGGCTTTTTCTGCTCACGGCTGATGCTCTACCGCTTGGGCTGTTTCTCCACTTCCTTTCTGCTGGTTAGCTGGAAACAAGAGTCCCTTGGATTTTCATTTCCCAGGCTGGCTCTGAATCTTGATTCTCAGATCCCAGCATCTTGAGTAGCTAGGATTACAAGTGTGAGTCTGGCTCTAGGCAATGATCTTAATGTTTTCTTTACCTAAAAATCCTTGAAGACTGGCTATCCTTGGGGTCTCCTGCCTCCTCCTTCCTGCTGAGTAACCATGGCAACTTCCATCACCTCTCTGAGCCTGTTCTGTAGCTGTAAGATGGGGCTGGGAAGCAGGCAATCTAGTTCCAAAGATGCTACCCTGAAGAGGGAGGTGTCCAAGTTCCCTGCTCTGCCATTGGCTATGCAGCAGCCAATGGCTACAGTGAAAGACCACGTATTTTGCCTCTTTGGCTACCAGGACTAGAAGACCAGGGCAGCCACGACCTCCACACTCTACAGCTCTTCCCTCCCACCTGAGCAGACACCACCCACACTAACTGCACTTGGCTTTATTGGCCAGGGCAGGAAGGGACGGCAGACAAAGCCAACTAAAGCAGGAAATGGTTATCTTTGTCCTGGCAAATCTGGGAACCCACCAAGGTGGCAGAAAGCCGAGTTTTCCACGTGAGGGGTTTGCGTGTTATTTTTCATAGCAAAAGATAGTCCGCATGTTTCCGCCTTCCTTTTATATTTTTAGGAACTCACAGATCCATGTGCTGCCTGCCTCCCATGGGGAAAAGTGGCCTTCCGGGCATTGTGTGAGCCCAGTGGTGTTCAGACACTGCCTGGAGTTAGCTTTTTTGTCTCACTGAATTCCCTCTGGCAGGCAGGGGTCTGTAAACAGTTTAAAGATGTCAGTACTCCGTGGGATAAAACTGTCCCCTTACCCCGTAAAGAGATGCAGGGAGGCAGAGCGAGAAGACATGTATGCGAGGAGTTGGCTGAGGAAGGCTCTAGAAATCAGGTGCCACACAGAAGAAGAGCCTGCATGGAGACAGGAGAGCAGGTTCCTAAGGAAGGAGACTCCAGGAGTGGAGAGCACTCCCCACCCAGTACTTACACTAGTTTGGAGGCACTGTTAGGTGTGTTTTAAAAATATCTATAGTGTTCTTCTTCTTTTATTATTTTTTAAATTCTTTGGCAGTACTAGAGTTTGAGCGCAGAGCCTCTCAGGCTAGGCCGGTGCTCTACTCCTTGAGTCTGCCTGAAAATTGAAATTTAAAAATCAAGACCTAGCCAGGTGCCAGTGGCTCACAACTGTCAACCTAGCTACTCAGGAGGCTAAAATCCTGAGGATCGTGGCTCGAAGCCAGCTCAGGCAGGAAACTGCGTGAGACGCTTATCTCAACAAATTACTCAAAAAAGTCAGAAGTGGTTCTGTGACTCAAGTAGAAGAGTGCTCGCCATGAGCAAAGGAAGCTCAGGGACAGTCCCCAGGCCCCAGAGTTCAAGCCCCAAAACCAGCAAAAAAAAAAAAAGGAGGGGAGGGGCTGGGAAGGTGGCTCAGTGGTAGAGCGCTTGCCTTGCATGCATGAGGCCCTGGGTTCGATTCCTCAGCACCACATAACCAGAAGAAAAAAAAAAAAGCTAGAAGTGGCGCTCTGGCTCAAGTGGTAGAGCGCTAGCCTTCAGCTGAAGAGCTGAGGGACAGCGCCCAGGCCCAAAGTTCAGGCCCCCGGCCGGACCCAAAATAAAAGAGGGTGAGGGAGAGAGACTTTAGAACCCCAGAATCTGTTGTTGAACTCTGAATTCTCCTTTTGTACCCCAGGATTTTTTTCCCTTCTCCAGTCCTGTTATTTGAGGGGGAAAGTTCAATCTAATATTATTTAAATGATTGGCAGTTTATCTTACTGGCTTCTCTCTTAATAAGATGTTGTAAAAATTATTTTAGCAAAAATATCAAAGTTTGGCATTGTTCGGCCAGCTCAGTTCACTAATGTCATTGTATAAGGTAAGAAATCCAACATAAAAACATACTGAGCCGAGATGGATAATTCTGGACACACACCACCCGCCAGCGTGTTACATCGTCTGAGAGTTACAGGCTTGGCAGTCATTTTTGAAGCTCTATATTCTTAAAAAATAAACTGCAATGGATTTACTTTTAAGCATATGAATGTGAAACAAGAATAATAACGCCCAATTCAAGAAGTGTCATGGCTTCTCTCTAATTTGTAACCTTTATTGGTCGAGCAGCTTTCTAGATGGAGGAAAAAGTTGGGATGTTTAAATAATGTGATGTCCAAGGTTAAAATGACTGAGTGTGAATTTTCAGGGATGGAGAAGTGGAAGGAGAGGGACAGAGAGATTATGATTGAAGTATTTATATGCAAGAAGAAGATTGGGTGCCAGTTGTTTGTGCTTATAGTAACGCCAGAAACCCAGGAGGCTGACACCAGAAGGATTATGGTCCTAGGCCAGCCTGCAGGGGGAAAAAAAAAACCCCTTCAGGAAATTCCCCATCTCAACTAATAAGCTGGATATTATGTTTGCAAGCCTGTCACCCCAGCTACATGGAAAGTGTAAAATAAGAGGATCACGATCCAGGTTGGACCAAACAAAAAGTGAGTCCCTGTCTCAAAAATAACAACGTGAAAAAAGGCTGGAGGCTGCTCAAGCAGTAGAGTGCCCGCAAGTTCAAACCCTAGGCCTGAAAATCAACCAACCAATCAATCAATCAATCAATCAATGAGGGATGGAGGACAAGAAAGAGCCATAAGAGGGTAGATTTAATCCAAGAACTTCACCTATACTATAAATACCAGAATGTAAATGTTGCTTGACACTGAGCCAAATTCCAGTCTCCATCAATTGAATAATTCACCTGCTTTGCAGTGGCATGTGCTTAGGGAGTGCTTTGTCTTCATGCTTATCCGAGGTCTGTCCTACGGCTCTGCTCCTTTCTGAGTTGCCCAGAATACTTTGCTACAACTGCTATAGAGTGTGTTATACTGCTAGCCATGGCTCCTGCCAGCCAGACCCCCATGTCACATTTTTCTCATGATACGGTTAGCATGTCTTATGTCCCACGTGATTTGGGGCGCTTTTGTTTGTCACATTGAAGGTAGGAAAGAGCCCACTGGCCACCAATGTGTCCCTGCCCTTGTATAAAAAGCTGTTCAGCAGATGTGCATTGAGGCTGAGATATGAGGCTCAAGATTCAAAGCCAGCCTTGCCACAGAAAAGCCCCTGAGACTCCACCTCCAAATTAGCAAGCAAAACAAATGTGGCTGGAGGTGTGGCTCAAGTGGTAGAGCACCAGCCCCCCAAAATTAAAAAAAAAAAAAAGC